CTCCCTCTCCTCTCTCTCTCCTCTCTCTCTCTCCTCTCTCTCTCTGGGTCAGGATCTTACTGTGCAGCCCTGGATGTCCTGGAACTCACTATGTAGACCATCCTGGTCTCCAACTCACAGAGATCTGCCTGCCTCTGCCTCCTGATGAAGTGCTGGGATTAAAGAGATCCGTCGTCATGCCCGGCACAGGATTGTTTCTTGGTGTTCAGCACATAGCATCTCAAAAGCAGACTGTTTTCTGGGTGGAGGGCATGGCGTGTTCTGCCTTGCAGCACTCTTTGCATGAGCTGTCCCATGAGATTTCTAAGTCTCGGTTGTACTCTTTTAATACACTGTATGTATTCGTGTGCATTTACATAGGCTACCCTTTCCAGGTGCACTTTTTAAGATAGCTGCTGAAAATGTCTGTTTTAGAATGGTTGTCAGATGCTTCAAATGTAAGTTAGGTTTCAGAGTACAAAAGCAGTTGTAGACCTGTAGTTCAGTTGTGAGACCAGCTAGCCTGGACTACATAGCTAGACCATCTCAAAACCAGGTAATACTGTTTTGTGTAAAAGACTTGGCTTCTCCTATAACACAGTGAGGTGATGCTAACACGGTGAAGGCTACCTATAAAGCAAATTCAAGCAAATAGCCTATAAAAGTATGACCCAGTGAAAACAATTTCCAGTGTCAATGAAGAATTGTTGGTATAATAATTCAGTGGACATTTCTAAAATTATTTGAAAAGAGATTTCTAAAACTTAAAACATAGCCTTTGCACTATAGAAAGCGCACAGAGTGATACTTTGTGAAGGCTTTGTTAGCACAGGAAACCGTGGCTGCTTGCTTTAGTGCTGTGCTTGTAGTTCCTAGCAACACAGCCTACATGTTGTGGAACATGGTTGAATGGATATTGTATTAAGATAAACAGAATTTTTAAAAAGTTGTTTAAAATATATTTAAGATAGGGTTTGGGTGAACAGTGATAGATTGTCTTGCTCAGCATGAATAAGGTCCCACTTTTTGATTCCTAGCACCAGAGGAAGAAAAGTAAATAACAATGTTTGGACATTCTCTGTATATTGATTAATAAAGAGATGATTAAAGTACAAAATACACATACAGTGGATACAAATTGGGTGAAAAAAGTATTCCTGTGTGTATTGAGGCAGTCTTTTTTCCATGATAAATGTAATCATTTATATGTAGATTATATAGAATAGTATATAAGATACAATATCATGCCATTGCTACTGATTTTTTGGTTTAAGTGTGCACTCAGGCTGTGAGATGGCTCAGGAGGTAAGGTGCCTGCTACACAAGCATGGGAGCCTGAGTTTGGATCTCCAGAGCCCACGCTAGAGACAGGACACAGTGGCTCCTGCCTGTAATCGGGTGCATGGTGGTAGCGGGAACAGGGGCAAGTAAAGATGGTTGCATGGGGAAGCTCATTGCTCAGTTTTTCTGACAGAGTCATTGAATGTCAGGTCTACTGAGAGACCCCGTCTCAGAAAATAAACGGGGAGAGCCATTGAGGAATATCCATGTCAACCTCTTGTCTTTACACGCACAGACACATACCATGCATGCACTTACATACCCCCATACGCATGTGCACACACCATGCACATAACACACAATTAAAAACAAGCATTATACTTGCCCATCCCTGCCAATTATTAAGCTTTTGGATATTCTATAATTTTTAGGACCTTAAATTGCTTTTATTTGTGAAAATGTGCATATATTTGTATGTTTATATATAAATTTATATTCTTGGGATATTTTTTCTTTTTCCAGGCAAGGTCTTGCTTTGTAGGTGTATCTGGCTGATGTGGTAAATGTGTTAGTATACACTGACACATTTTATCACCTTAGTAACTACACAGCAGAGTACTTATACAATGCAGTCAGTCTGTCTGTCTGTGTCTCTCTCTCTCTCCCTCCCCCCTTCCCCCTCCCATGTGTGTGTGCACGTGTGTGTGCGTGCACGTGTGTGAGTGCCATGGCAAGCACAGGAGCGGAGGTGACAGGATGACATGGAGTGGCATTGGCCTGGTCCCTGCTGCTGTCCCTGCCTCTCATTACGGCAGTGTTTCTGTCATGAATCTACTCCTACATCTAGCTTTTTATAGAAAACCAGACTCCCATTTGTCAGCTTGTTCAACTCCAGCTTTAGTGTGTGGCTTATTAAGAGGAAACTAGATTCTCTTTTGTGTTCAGTGCAGTAGTATAATGGGGTTATGCGTGAAGCACTTAAAGAAAGTACAGCCTCACGTGAATATATAAAAATATACATAGAAATATGTATGTTATGCAAGATAGTTAAAGGACTTTTTCAGATAGTTGCTGATTCTCTTCTTTGACACCACATCAAACTTGTAAGAAGAAGTAGTAGTAGAGTGTGGTGCGTGTGTGTGTGTGTGTGTGTGTGTGTGCGCGTGTGTGTGCGCGTGCTAGTGTGTGGATGTTGAATATCTTTCTTCCTTTCCCACTTGTATTTGGAGACCATGTCTCTCACTGAAGACAGGTTTGGTGTTCTGAATAAATTGGCTGGCTGGTGTGCCCCAGCATTTGTCTCCATCCCTACTCCCCCCAGATGCTGGAGTTACCTGTGTATGTTAGTATTCCTGGCCTTTGTGTGGATGCTGAACTCTGTTCCTCATGCCTGTCTCTCAGGCTCCTTGCCCTCTGAGTCACCTTTCTAGCCTAAGTGGTAATGTTAAAAAGCAGTAGTTGCCACTGTCAGTGAAGTTTTCTATTCTGTTTCATAAAGTTCTTGGATCTGTCTTGGACCTAGTGGGTCTTTTATCTGGGTGTGATTATTGTCTGCAAATAATGGGTTGAAAAATACTGGTTTACTGAGTTGCTAACATCTTTCTGTTACTCTGTATCAATGTCAAATTTGTTAATGTCATATCAATATATGAAAAGTCTTTAAGTAATGTGAACTTATAGTCATAAGTGACAAGTGTGAGTTTTTCTAATTTATACTTTTTCACTTAGAAGCTTGAATTTAGAATTAGTTGAGCTTATGGGCTTAATGGCTTCATTTGTTGAACATTTTAATCAAGTCTCAGTAATTTGCCGTTTGCTTATTTGAAAATACTATTCCATTCATGAAAGGTAAAAGTTAATTCATTATCGCAATGATATTTGAAAATAAACTTAATGAATAACTAAAATCTGTAAATTTAATAAACCCAGAAAGAAAACATAGTAGAATATTAATAGTGGTTATATTGGAATCATGAGAAAATGGTGGCTTTTCATTTTTTATTTTTAGCACTGAGTTACATGTTTTCATTATTTTGTTTATGTGCTTAAAATAAAAGCAAAGCATGTTATTTATATGACAGTTTACATAGGACTATTGAGAATGGTTCTCTATTTTTCTTGTTAGAATTTAGGTCCTGAGTATGAAGATGTATTTAATACTTCATTGCTGTGGATTTTTAAAAATGGGAAAGATGTTGGAATAAGGTACAGGATTTGATTTACACTTTGATGATTTTGTGTTGTAAGGAGTGGTTTTTAAATTTTAATCTCTACCTTAATTACTTTTAAATAGGTGTGTTGGTTATGGGCCCGAGGAAGACCTGACAAATGTCACTGATGTGCAGTTTTTGCAGTCCACCAGACCCCAGATGCCGTTCTGGTGCCGTTTCCGGCGTGCTTTCATTACTGTGACCCATAGGTTACTGTTGTTATGTTTAGGTAAGTGTTAGGATTGGAAAGAGGTTGCACTGCTCGCATCTGATGGAATCCAGAGCCAAGCCATTGCTCCTACTTCTGTAGACAGTGTTAGCAATGACGTCCAGGAGTCCTCACTAAGTTTGTAGTTTACTTTTGTGTGACTGTGACCAAACACTTAACAGAGGCAGGTAACTCTCAGCACGAAAGGTTTATCTTAGCTCACAGTTGAGAGTCGGCGGTCCATCATGAGAGGAGGCTTGGCAGAGGAGACAGCATGGCAGACAGCAAGCAGAGAGGAGAGAGTGCTCATCGGCGAGTGTCCCCAAAGTCCTGTACCAGTGACATGTCTCCTCCAGCTAGGTGCCAGTGTGCTGATGTCCACAGTTTCCACGTCAGTGCTGTCACTGACCCAAGGCTGTATGAGGATTCATGTTTAATGATAACAGCAAAGTTGGGGGAATTTATGGCACTTGTGGCTTAGAAAATGGTGCCTGAGAGAGAGAAAGGTTTGTCACGGAAATGTCCTAGAAGGAGCGCGTATAGTAGGCTGCGTGTAGTAGGATGTGTGTGGATGTCTACTAGGAGAAAGCAGAGGGGAGAGTACAGTATGAGCTTTCCTCCCCCCTCCTCCCTCTCTCCCTTTCCCTTCCTGCCCTCTCTCTTTTTATTGATTTTTTGAGATAGAGTTCCTCTGTGTATCCCTGGCTGTCCTGGAATTCACTCTGTAGACCAGGCTGGCCTCGAACTTGGTCAGAGATCCACCTGCCTCTGCCTCCTGAGTGCTGGGATTAAAGTGATGTCCCACCTTGTCTAGCTAAGTTTGAGCTTACTTTTAAATAATTAAAGCTCTTAAATAATAGGAAATAAATTATTCTTTTCTGTTTTCTTTTGTTAACACTCTAAACATAATTCAATTTATTTAATATGTAGTATGTTTAATAAAACTCACGTTTTGCCTAGTTTAGTGCCTAAGGAAGAAAGTCTGGAACAGTTACTTTTTATTTTTAGTCATAGGGATTTAAATACTCAACTGTTAATGTAATGGAAGAATTGTTTTAAAGAGGGGTGAAATTTTGGGAGAGTACTGAATAAGGTTTTCTAAGTGTAGCTTCATTATACTGTTAAGTTCAAATCTTTGCCCTCTGTTATTCTGTGAGGCTAGGAGAGAGGTTCAGTGTTAGTAGCTTTCATGTAACTGACTATTCCTGAGCACAGTCTTAACTCGAGCCCCAACTGTTGCAGGTGTAGTGATGGTGTGTGTTGTTCTCCATTATATGAAATACCGCTGGACTAAGGAGGAGGAGGAAACACGGCAGATGTATGATATGGTGGTGAAGATTATAGGTATGGAATTTATAAAATCCCAAATGATGACAGACTGCAGCATGGCTGTCAGCAGTTGGTTTACTTGTAAAGTTGTTGTTGGTTTGTTTTCAGATGTTTTACGAAGCCATAATGAAGCCTGCCAGGAAACTAAAGACTTACAACCTTACATGCCTATTCCACATGTTCGAGATTCCTTAATACAGCCGCATGACAGGTGTGTAAGCAACACGGATTGAAATCTGAATGGAGAGATCTGTAGGAGACTCGGGGTTCATTGAGAACTGGGGTTCATTGAGAACTGGGACTCCTTTCAACGAGACCTGCTTGACTGGATAGAGTTTTTAAAGTACTTCACCCCCTCCCTGCAGCGTTAATTCTGCTCTCCTCCTGATCTCAGTGTGTAGATCCTTCTTGTTCCCTCCTGCGTAGTTTATTCCTGCTGTCAGTCTTCCTCTTTATCCCTTAGTACAGTGAGAACCGTACTGAGAAACAGAAGAGGCTGGTTATGATTTTAGTTATACTAAGTACTTAGTTTGTAATTACTGAGGCTTTTTAATGAATGCTAAAATGTGACTTTTTGAAAATGAAAGAAAAGATCCATATTTCCATATTCTGCAAGGTCTGGCTCTCGAGTCAGGTAGCATATCTTCATCTTCACAGAGAGGAGCCGCTACCAATAACCAGCACTTCACTTACTAACTACCAATAACCAGCACT